AGAAGGTGAGTAGATAAACAAATTGTGGTATAACCATATAATAGAGTACAGCTCAACAATAAAAAAAAAGAGAAATACCAAAATATCTACTTAAGTTTTTTCATTGGTATCATGCCTTCAACTATAGGCATTTAGTACTCCCTGCCCAAAATAATGAATTACAGAGGCAGTTAAATCTCAAAATCATCATGGTGAGTGAAAGAAGACAGGCAAAAAATAAAAGAATACATAATGTATAATTCTATTCACATAAAATTCTAGAAAATATAAACATATCTTTCTATATCTAGTCTATAACATAATAGCCCGTCATCTACAAAAGTGCCATGAAAGGTAAAGAAAGACCAACAAACTGTTCCAGGAATGTGAAGAAGCATGGCAACTAAATATGAACAGATAAAAGCATGTTTGCTACTAAGGCATCACTGGGACAATTGGGAAGTTTGAGTGTGGGGTAAGGACCTTGTGGGAACCTCTGACAATACTTGAATGGAATCTGATTAGATGTAGTAATGTGTCAAAATCTATCTCTTGGTTCTGTTTGTATTGAAGTTACATTGAAGAATGTTCTGGTTTGTAGGAAATGCTAAAATATTAGGGGTGATGGAGGCACATATTTGGCCACCTACTCTCAAATGCTTCAGGAAAAATGAAATTGTTCTTTGCACCATACTTTCAATTTTTCTATAAATTTCAATCGACAGATGGGTAGATAAATATAGATAGGCATAGATAAAAAGATTTAAATTATCAGAATGGGCCAAAATAATAAACAAACAATAGTACTTTTTTCTATACAGCTATCTATTGAAATTTATAGAAAAATTACAGGACTTTTTTCAATAACTCCATCTCTTTCATCTTCCTTTCCCTAACAAAATGTCTCAAGATCTCCACCCTACCACCACCAAATGTATATACATTTCTCCCTGGAGGAACTCTGCCATCCTCCCCCAGCAAAGGTCTACAACAAGGTGGCCTCAAGATTTAATCTGACACAGAGATGCATTATTGGTCTACAGAATCTGTGCTTGTTTGTTTTCCCCTATGCTTGTTTCATCATCGTATTTTAGAAGCAGACAGTTCACTTTCTAGTTTTACAGGTCCAGAAATGAAGAGAGATTCTGCTCTAGGGTAGATCCCCAGAGTCTTATTTGTATCTGATTAGATGATGATATTTGGGATTAGGGGGTTGATGAGAGCTAGATGAGATTTTGAACTTGAGTTGATTCTGTCATACATGGAGTCTTTAGGGGATGTTGGGATGGAGTGGCTGTATTTCCCATGTGGGATGGATATGAGCCTTTGGGGCCAGAGAAGGGACTGGTAGGCTGCAAAATGTACCACACGCCCAGACCCCCTACCCTAGTTCAAAAAGGAAATATTTACAGAAAAACTGTAGAAACTATGAATGTTACCTTTTTCAGAAAAAGGGCCTTTTAAACCGTGATTCAATTAAAGGTCTTGAGGTAATCCTGAGTTACTGGGTGAGCCCAAATCCACTGATAAGTTTCCTTATCAGATAAAAGGCAGAGGGATATTTCAGGCAGACAAAAGAGGTCAAGATACAGATATAAAGAAAGGGTGTCATGTGAAGACAGAGTTGGAAACTGCAGTGATGTGGTCACAAGCCCAGAAAGCCAGGTCAGCCACCAAAAGCTGAAGAAACAAGTTGTCGCCTTGATTCCTCAGAGGTAGTATAGCCCTAGTGATTTCAGACTTCTGGCACCATGCTGGAGCCTGGATTTATAGGTGGGCAAAACTCACAAAGCCTCTCCCTCAAGGCATTTATACATTAGTGGGGGAGACATATGAGAAATATATCAGTCATCAAATAGTGATATGTGAATTGATGGGAAATAAAGCAGGAAGAAGAATATATAAATGCTGTTTGGGTTGATGCTATTTTTGCTTAAAACTCTTAATTATCCGCAATATCCATTTTCCTGAATGATACAAGGAAACATGGCTACCTGAGTAAAACTATATTCCTCAGCCTCCTTTGTAGCTAGGCCATCTGACAATGTCTTAACCAATGGAATGTGAAGAGAAGCAATGTGTACAGATTCTAAGATACATACTTAATAAAGGATACCTTTCTTTCCTTTCCCCTTCTTGGTGGAAATGTGAACCAGCCTGAACAGGGACTCTAGGGAATGGTAGAGCCTCCAAACGGAAGGAATCTATGTTCCTGAATATAGATGTTTGGAAGGGGAGGTGACTCCATGTCTATTTCTGGAATGCTATGCAAGAGATAAGTGCAATTCATTTTTTTTAATCTCAGTATTGGGTCTCTTTGTTTCGGCAGCTAAGCCTGTAACCTAACAAATAAATATTTTAATTTAGATGGTGAAGGCAGGCCTTTCTGAGCAGAGACCAAGCAGACTAAGGAACCAGAGGTTGTAGAGAGGCAGTAGATTATGTTGAGAGTTGTATCTGCCCCAGTTTGGGTGGCTTTAAAAGCAAATTTTGAGGTAAAGATTTGGGTGCAGGTACTTGTTTTGAGGTGATCCCAGTAAGCACAGATGAAGGAGTGGAGAAAGAAAGGGGGAAAAAGAGATCAAAGAGATCAAACATGCCAATGAGCAGGTCACCCCTGAGAGCCTTGGGAGCGCCATACCATTCAAAACCCTCTGAGGAACTTTAAGGAACATGTCTCAGAACTTTAAGGAGCATGTCTCCAAGAGATGAGGGACAAGGTATTTTACCCACCGTACCCAACGCCCACAGAGAGTTTTCTCTGGAGGCATTAAAGACCTGACACCTTTAAGCTTTACCCTGCAAACGCTGAGCAAGCCCCCAAACAATAATCAGAGAAATCTCTCAGGCTGACAAGTATACATACCAGGGGCCTGTGGTGGGAAGCTCTGAGCATGTGGAAACTTACTACTTCTCCCACAGATGAATTCAGAAGTAAGCCAAGGGACCATGTGGCAGGACATTAACAGTCCGATAGCAAGGAGCACCTGGGTGGCTCAGTCAGGTAAGCATCCAACTCCATTTCTGCTCAGGTCATGATCTCAAGGTTCTTGAGTTTGAGCCCCACATCGGGCTCTGTGCTGACAAGATGGAGGCTGCTTGAAATTCTCTTTCTCCCTCTCTCTGCCTCTCCCCTGTTCATGCTTTCTCTATCTCTCTCAAATTAAATAAATGAAACTTAAAAAAACAAAAACAAAAACTGTCTGATAGCCAAGGTTCAAATTCTGGCTCTTCCACATACTAGCTGTGTCACCTAGAGTCAGTTGCTTAGCCTCTGTGTCTCAGTTTCCTCATGTATAAAATGGAGATAATTATAGTACTCACCCACTTCAGAGGCTTGTTGTATTATATATTATCAGAGATATGATGCACAATAATTAGAATACTGCTCTTCATATGGTGAGAGTTATTTGTTAGTTTATTTTTGTCTGAGACAAGAAATAAATTTATTAATCTAAACCATATTTGGGGTGCCTGGGTGTCTCAGTCAGTTAAGCGTCCGACTTCGGCTCAGGTCATGATCTCACAGTTCATGGATTCTAGCCCCATGTTGGGCTCTGTACTGACAGCTCAGAGCCTGAAACCTGCTTCAGATTCTGTGTCTCCCTCTCTCTCTGCCCCTACCCTGCTCTGGCCCTCTCTGTCTCAAAAATAAATAAACATTAAAGAAAAATTTAAACCATATTTATTATTGAATCTTCAGTGTTTGTCATGAGCTGAACAATAGTGGTAGGTATTATATAAATGTTTATTTAATGAGTAGGCAAAAATAAATTTTTTGACTGCTGCTAGACTTTTTGGATGTATGTAGGTATGTATCAGAGGGAGACCCAGACTGGTCACTTCTCACCCATATCCTCTAAGGACTATCCAGAAGACTTGTATAATATCACCCTAAGATGAAGTCTACTGTGGGGCCAGTGATTAACCTTGCTTCATGAAGGATCTGAAGTATAATTTAATAGAGTTTCACAAGCCTCTTTTCTTGGGTAACTTCCACATTCTCTTGGGTAATTTTCACATTTCATGGGAGGCTCAGTTCTGAATAAAACTAATGAAGTTTCTTGGCAAAATAGAAGAAAATCATGGTCCTGGCTGCTGGTTTTTTAAAGAAACCCTACATGCCAACAGTTGTGCCAGTGGTTAAGAATGGTGCCACTTGAAACCAAGCTAAACTTGAAAGGTTCCAGAAGATTTCCCCAAGAAACAAAAAGCTGAAGAAAGGCCAGGGAGCTTTTGTTACACCTATGGAACGGAGAATCCAGATGTAAGTACTGAGAAAAGAAAAGATGATACTCTACACGGCCGGCAACTAGAGACACCAGTGGCCCATCGTGGAGGGTAGAGGACACCTAACGGAGATGCGGAAGAATATGAACATGTATTGAATGTCTAATTAGGCCTCAAAACCTTGCACTTAAAAGTTACAGAAGCAGGGCGCCTGGGTGGCTCAGTTGATGAAGCATCCAACTTGGGCTCAGGTCACGATCTCGCAGTTGGTGAGTTTGAGCCCTGCATTGGGCTGTGTGCTGACAGCTCAGAGCCTGAAGCCTGCTTCAGATTCTGTGTCTCCTTCTCTCTCTACCCCTCCTCTTCAAAAATAAATAGAAACAATTTTTAAAAATTAAACAAATAAAGTAAAAGTTGTAGAAGTGTTTTCATGTAATCCTCATGATGCTGTCTTGAATAATATTATGCATTATGTCATGTTAATCTGTCTCACTCCCAAATCCATGCTCTTTGCAGGCAATTTTAAAGGAGGGAGGGTGTCATATGGTCCCTAAGTATGAGCTGTGAACTACACCCAGAATGCTATGAACAAACTACTGAAGAATTTGCAAAAGTGCATGAAAATGAGAAAACCCTTATAACTCTATGGCTGCCAGATCTTGGTCATTTCATGAACTCAAAAGCAAGGCCAGAAACATCAGTGGGCTTCATCCCTCTACAAGTATCTTCATAGTGAGGGGAAAGCTTCAGAACATTCCACAAAACAGAGAAAAATCATAATAATGTCTTACCAGAAGTCCAGGTCAATTTCAGATTCCAGAAATGGCACGAGAGGTCCTGCGATGTGACACTATTAGAACTCAAGTTCTCCAGAAAGGTGAGGTGGTAAAAACTTTGAAGCCAGCAGTAATTTCATGGGAAATAATGGTCGTGAGCATTTACTCCACTTTCGTTTGGTTCAGCTTTGCACTGAAAGTACTTCAACAAAGAATCCCTATGAGCCACAAAAGAAACAGATTTTGAATTTAGGTAGACTGCACCATATAGATAAGCATCTCGGTTTTGTTTTGTTCTGCTTTGCCTTTTGCCTTTTCGGTCAAAGGGTTTCAGTTTGTTTCCGTTTTTTGTTATCATGGTTTTTGGAGGCGGTGCTTGGATAGTTGTTTGTTTTGACTATTTTCCATCACTGGGAAATACAAATAGGTTAAGGAAGTAAGATCAAGGTTTAAAGCTCTGTTAAAATTTCTTCAGAGATGCTGGAGAAGAGAGAAGTGCCAGGGTTTGGAGCGTGCAACTGCATCCAATAACAATATCTCAATTGTCTCAGCAAGCACAAAGGAGCAAGGGGCAGTGCTTTCCTTTCAGATACTTGGTCTGCAAAACTTCTTTGGGCGGGTTTTCTTTGTACTTTCAGGCAATAAATTTCCTGATGACATAAACCTCATCATCTTCTTTCACGTTGTGGAAACGCCAGGCCAGCCTCATGTGTTGTTGAATTAGGGAGAAAAAAAAATTTTATTTGGATTTCTATTGACAACAACAAAAAGTTTTGATTGGATTGAGCTATATAAAATTACTGATACTGATACTGATACTATTTTTTTTCAAAGCTTCAGAGCTGTATTTTTTTTACAGCTTCCAAGTTGCAATTTCCTATGACTCAGAATATTGAATCAATTTCCTATGAATCAATTTCCTATGATTAAAAGTATTCCTGATGCTTTTACTGGGAATAAGTGATTCCCCCACTAATATTTCTATAGCTCAGTAAGATTTTGGAGTATACTCTTGATTACAAAAGATAAAATACAATTATGGTATGAGAGATTATCATCTAAATTTTTGGAAATGGTAGTATTTGTAAAGCATAACAGTATTCTAGGCATATTTTATTAATTTCTGTTGCTTATATAGCAAGTATTATTAACCATCTACTGTAATATGGTGTTTTTAATTTTTAATTTTTTTTTCAACGTTTATTTATTTGTGGGACAGAGAGACAGAGCATGAACGGGGGAGGGGCAGAAAGAGAGGGAGACACAGAATCGGAAACAGGCTCCAGGCTCTGAGCCATCAGTCCAGAGCCCGACGCGGGGCTCGAACTCATGGACCGCGAGATCGTGACCTGGCTGAAGTCGGACGCTTAACAGACTGCGCCACCCAGGCGCCCCTATATGGTGTTTTTAAAATATAGGGCCTAGAGTCAAAATTCATGTATTCCAATCCTGGTTTCCCCACTTTTTTTTTTATTTTATTTTTTTCACGTTTATTTTTGAGAGAAAGAGCATTAGCGGAGGAGGGACAGAGAAAGAGGGAGACACAGAATCTAAAGCAGGCTCCAGGCTCTGAGGTGTCAGCATAGTGCCCAACAGGGGGCTCAAACTCACGAACTGCGAGATCATGACCTGAGCTGAAGTCGAATGCTTAACCAACTGAGCCACCCAGGTGCCCCATGGTTTCCCCACATTTAGAGTCTCCGCACATGAAGACACTTAGGTCTTCATGTCAAACGTTCTTTTTCTATAAATGGGGGCCACAATGAAGACATCTGACTCATTGAATAGTATGAATTGAGTAAAATAACTGCACCTTATAGCACCTGGCTCATAACCACCACTCCGCAACTGTGGGCAAAACAGGTAACCCTATTATCATGGAGCTTACAGCCTAATAAGGGAGACACAGACACAAATTACCACAACTGTCATAAATGTTATGAAGGAGAAGTGCATGTTCCTATACAGGTATAAAATTACTCTGTGGCAAGCAGGCAAAACTTCCTTTGGAAAAAGAGAATTAAGCCGAGGTCTGAAGGATAAACACTAATAAATCAGGTGCAGGTTTGATGGAAAGCATTCAAGGCAGAAGAAAATCCATGCCCTGTATTTTGAGAGGCCGTTGACATTTGGGGGAACTCGTTTCAGGGCTGCAAGGCAGTACCACCAACCCTCTGCAGGTGAGGAGGCAGTGGGGGCTCCACCACAAGGGTCTTTTAAACCATGTAAATTCCTTTAAATAGAGGAGTGAAGTCATTGCCTGAGTATGCTGCATAACAGAAACCTTCTTCTTTGTAAAGTGTCTGGTGAGACTTATTTGTTTTGTGGCATTTATTAAAAATAATTTGATGTGCCTTGGCTTCCCCACCATAGTTACAGTTATTTTTAAATGAGGTATATGGAGACAGAGTATTTTCTTTGGTCCAGTTTCTCCCTTTTAAATATACCTACAACTTCCAAAGGTAGCTAAAATGTGAGGTTTGAGGGCACAATCCTCTGAGTTGCCAAACATTTCTGGGACCTCTGCACCAACTACAAGTTTGAGGGGATTTCTAAAATCACTGTCAGGTTTGGTAATTCATTAGAGAGACTCACAGGACTCAGAGCTAATATACACGTGCCTATGGTTTATTACAGGGAAAGAATAAATTAAAGCCAATAACGCATAGGACAGAGCCTGGGAAAGTTCCAAATGTGAAGCTTCTGTTGTCTTCAGAATGCATTTCACTTCCAACCCTGACATGCGACAATATGCACTCACTAGTGCCAACCAGGAAGCTCACCCAAGCTTTGGTGTCCACAGCTTTATGGGGACTTCATTAAGTGGACATGATTGATTGATTAGCCATGCAGTCGCACTCAGTTCCTAGTCCCCTACTGCCCAGAAGTTGGGTTGATACCATGTGGCCCAAGGGGCCCACCATGAGTCACCTCCATAGCATAAAGTATCAGATGTGGTCCATAATAACAAAGATACTCCTATCATCTAAGAAATCCAAAAAGTTTAGAAGGTCCCTCCCAGTGGCTAGGGACAAAGGCCAGAGCTTTCCTTTGGCCAAACCAAATGATATCCTATAAAGGCTACCTCTGGCCTTTGGCCAAGTCTGTCTTATAGCAAAACAATCATATTCACCTGCAACTACATTTAGTATAGCTTGTATATGGTAGAGACAGTACTATCATATGAATGTGCCTCACATTTGGAGGAGCCAGTATGGGGAAGGGACAGGCTTAAAGAAAAAAGTAATCCATCCTAAGGGTGACTGGGTGGCTTCGTCAGTTAAGTGTCCAGCTTTGGTTCAGGTCATGAACTCACAGTTCATGAGTTCAAACCCCACATCGGGCTCTGTGCTGGCATCTCAGAGCCTGGAATCTGATTTGGATTCTGTCTCTCTCTCTCTCTCTCTCTCTCTCTCTCTGCCCCTTCCGCATTCACACTCTGTGTCTCTCTCTCAAAAATAAACATTAAAAAATTTTTTAGGAAAAAATTAATCCATCCTATAAAGTCATTATATATATTACATTTATATTTTTACTCCTTGATTTACCATTATATGTACTTTAGAGTAAACTTATGCAATGTTATTTAGCATAGAGATTATCTGATGATTGGCTAAATTCAGTTCTTCCTTAAGCCAATCATCTTCCATCAGTGTTATGGTTTGAGGAGGCTTTAGTTCTTTTTCCCAAATTGATCATCAATATAAACATTATAACCTTAACAACAAGGCCAGTGTCATACCCTATCACACTATGGCAGCAGATGTGATATAATATTCTTAATATACAAGAATATATATTCTTATATATAGGATTCTTAATGTATAAGAATCAAAACATACTGGCACATCACCAGAGTCCCACTCAGTCATTAACAGTACAGTCCATCATCATATTGTCTAACCAAAATGGCTGCCAGAGTGATGCCACTCAGCTTTGTAGGTTTCCTGTCAATGCTGTCAGGTTGTAAAAGCAGAAGTGGCCTTCACCCACTGGTGTAATTGAGCAATGATACCATATCATCTCTTGTTCTTAGCCTTTCTCAAAGTAGTAATGTAGTATTTATTTTCCCCCCTTATAAAACCGATTTATGCCCTCCCATAGCCTCAGCTACTATTTTCCCTAGCTTCATTAACTGCCTAGTTTTACCCAAACATTTTCACCTTTGGAAGAGACAGCAGGTTTGGCTGTTGAGCAGGTCCAGATTGCCAGTAGTAATACTGGTCCAGCAAGCATTCCCTGCAATGCACTCCCATTATACAGGGTAGGATTACACAGTACATAGCTAGTGGGCTCTCGGACACTAAGCAACTCGTGTGTTACATTTCCCACCAACCCCAATTATGCCAGATGGGGTAAAGGCATAATCCAACCTATCAGGCCCTTAGGAATTCTGACATAAAAGTTTAAAGATATAGGTACAGGTTTTTTGTTGTTGTTGTTGTTTAAGGATTATCTCTGCTTTTCGGGCACCAGTAGTCACAGGCCTGGTCCTAGGACCACTGCATCAGGTAAGAAAAATGTTGAGGTGATGTGAGCAAAAAAGAAACAGTGTAGTCATAACAGCATCCTCCCCCCATGGGAAGAATTATACAGTCATACCAGAATACTTCCCCACTTCCTTCTTCTCAGATTACTCAGAAAAGCAGGGGAATCTATCTGATAGAGATCCTTCCTTGGCCTCCCCTCATGTTGAGTGTGAGAACACACTCCTGAAGGTGCAGAAGCCAACTACTCTTGCTTTTATCTACCCATTTTAAACAACAACTCTTCCTATTGCCCGTTCTAATTCTATATCTAGCCACTGCTCTGGGGACACAAGCTTTCTGCCCATTGTTGGACATAGAAGCTATGAAGTGTGTTTCTTGGTCTGATGCAATGTGACTTGGCAGTCCAAACTGATGTTTCACAAGACCATCCTCAATGTCCGTAATTTGCCAGAAGGACTCCTAGAAGTCTCTGAAAACTATTATATATACATTTACGGTTTATGACAAGGAAATGATACATTAAAATCAGCCAAGGCAAAACACAGAGCAGATTCTGGGAGGGTTCCAAGCCCAAGACTTCTTTTTTCCACCTGGCATCAATGTGTGACAGTACCTGTGGAGGCTTGACAACCCAGGGAGCTCATCTTAACTTCTGTGCCTAGACTTTTTACTGAAGTTTCATTACTTGGGCCTGACTGGATGATTGCCCACAAAGCTGCACGCGAGTCTCCAGCCCTTACTCTCAGAGCTCAGGCAGATAACACAGGGCTGAGGCCCACCATAAGTCATCATAATTAGCATAAAGTCTCAGATATGGTCAGAGGGATCCACCCGTCATCTCGCTAGCATAAACTGGCAGATGTGGTTCCAAAGGCCTACCATGAATAACAGAGGTACTCCTATCACTGAGGGTATTTCCAAGAGTTTGGAGATTACCTCCCTGGAGCCAAGGATAAGGCTGGATCTCTCTTTCTGCAAGGCCAAATTCTTTACTACAAAATACATCATTTTGAAATGGGTAATGCATAGAA